ACCGCAAATTGGACTACCTGTACATCTGGGATATTCCTACCACCGTGTGGCTGCGGAATGAACCCCCTCTCCTTACCGCTACAAAAAGAAAATTCGAAAAATGCCACTGAAAGGAATAAATCGAAGCCATTGCATTGGATAAATTCAGGGAAACAGGGTAAGTCGGCCAAGGATGGAGCCTCCAGAAGGCTCCGTTGCTAAATTGGCATCAAATATGAAACATCTATTGTATGAACGTATTCGTGCACTTCAACACGAGCTCTTTCAGTTCTCGGTTTTGGCACGGATACTCGTCTATATCCATCTTAGGATATCTGTCATCTGTCAGCCAAGGAGCCTTCCCACTCTTTTTTTACTTTACTTCTCGCTTCTCTCCTCCTTATTTTTCTCCCTTCAAATGCTCGTCCCGAAGATAGGTTAAAAAACAACTCTGGACCCCCGGAGCAAGAAAAGATATGGTTGACGGAAGCCCTGTAGACTCTCCAAATAACAATCCCCACTTTTGTACGAAAATCCTTTGGAAAGACCCGTTAGCTGAGTTGCATATTCGTGACAATTCGTGCCAAAATTTATTCGTGACAAAACATACCTATACACTGGTTCATGTGGGTTTCCACTGAAGCTCCGCTTAAGCTCCTCACATAGCTCCTTCAGTTTATCGATACTGCGCGCAGTCAGAATTGACTTTAGCACCTCTCCTGTATAACTCGAATGCAAACGCTCTTCCAAGTCCTGTAAAGCTTTGCTAGAGAACTATCTTCGATTTTCGCGATCAAGGCGAAACAACTATGTACCTGAACTCGCTCCTGTAATAAGGACAGTCTTATCCTTGAATGACAACCGAGGATGGTGATGAGGTCCAGGAAGGAGATATGAGCATAACCTTCAACAACTCTATCCCAAGTAATCCTTCGTTAAGTGTAAAAAAAAATATCAGATACTCACTTGTAAACGGAGTACAATGCTGCAGGAATGACTGCCCATTTGAGATAATGTCGTAGAAATTCTAGCAATTCACTGCTGCTCATCACAATCAATCCTGTTGTTAAACAATGCATATGAAAAGTCACTCGGAACTTTTCTCCGTGAAATTCGGTGACAGAAAAACACGTGTAGATGAGAATCGGCTAAGATAGATAAGGAAACAAGGAAGTTAGGAATAGGAAAAAGGCAACTCACTATCAGGAGTTTTCTAGGACCTTCTTCATCAATCAGAGAAAACAAAACAAGAAAGGAAAACACATACGAGAAAAACAGCAAAAAAAAGTAACAAAAACGCTCGCGACTCTGAATCTACAGAGCGCTCCGCATGATATTTCGGAGCGGTTTGGCTGCTTGGGGGGGGGGGGGAGGAGGGGCCGAATGGCACTCAGCTAATCCTTACAAGCAAACTTGTGAAGTTCTGCAAACTGCTGTAACTAAAGTGGTTCGCCTTTCGTTGCTTCCCAGCAGTTGACAGCTCTCTTAGAAGTGGGACCCCTTACTTAACATGAACAAAGCAAAGGGATTTAGCAAAAATGCAAAACGCCCCCTCGTAGTCGACCAGTTCCGATATTTGTCTCTCCAGACTCGAATTTTTCATCATCCAGTATCGATCGCATGCTCATTATCTTCATAATTCTTCTCACCATCAGAATGGCCCGCTGAGTGAAACAGGGACCATTACTCGAATAGTAGTCTCTTTTTCAGACCAGTAGATATGGGGTACAGATGTGAATGCACGAGGACGTCAGACTCACCTTTGGTCATTATTAAGAGCATTTCATATTTCGCAATCGCGTGATCTAGTCGAGCGATCCGATCCGATCGCGCGATCGCGGACTATGAACGCGCTCCAAGTGACTCCTACTGCAGTATGAGGACATCATCACTGGGAAAGCCTTACGGGAAGGGCTTCCATTTGGATCGCACTGGGGAAGAGGGATAGTCGCAATCATTGTCGAGATTTTTTTCGTATACCTCCCGGGTCTGTTCAGCTTGAAGGGGCATTTTGCATCTTCGCTAGTTTCCTTTCTTAGCTCAATAGCAGTTCTCGCCTTGGCGAAACCTGTAATCTCCTGTGGAGCTGCGCAACTATTCGTGTGAGCCACTTCGCTCACAGAAATTTATAATTCATCATAAGATGACTTTTATAAAGTCGATGAGTACCATTCAGTGCCCCCACCAAGCCGAACTGCGCCTATAATCTCTCTCCACTTGATAGTTCCAGAAAGAAAATTCGACCCTGGCTTGTTACAACAAATTCTGAATGCTTTTGAAAAAGGAATATCTGGATCAGCGTTCGCTCAAGGTTACATTCGACCGTTCACAATTTTGGGTGACTTTTGGTTGTTCCCTAAAATATGGCGCGACATCCAAGATAGGAGCGCTTAGGACGCGCTGTTCTCAAACGCTACACATTGCGTCTATCAACGCTGATAACAGTGTTCTGTTCACGCTTTTACGAGCAGAGGCTCGCATAAGCAGGAACTAAAAAAGGAAGAGCGTGGTCAAAGTCGGGTAGGATAAACATACTTCCGTCGCGACCGGAGGAGAGCTTGATGAGCACAGGAATAGATTTTGCTTCAGTGTTCAAGCTCTAGCCCAAAATATACGAATGAATGGTGAAAAAACAACCGAACGTTGCCCCCGTTGAGCACATTCATACTTCGCGACCTGATCGCTTTAATCGCGCGACTGGATCGCGAAGTATGAATAAAGTCCAACTAAAAAAAACACAACAATGTAGAATGCAAAACCGTGTAGAAAAGCAGCTTGTTCAGCTTTCATTTAGTGAACGTTAGACATTTAAAAAATAAATTAAACGAAACCTGAAACGCGATGAGTGATATCCCCAAAGCCGTTGCGGCAGCCTTGCTAGTACGTGTAAAAATGTATCCAACGCACCTACAAAGGTAGATTAGAGCGAAGCGCTGTTATTAATTTCCAAGTTTTTAGTATAGCTTCTTATCCTCACAAGCCAATACAAGGACAACTTTAGGCTTGATAAAATGTGATTGTAAGACTTTAGTTAACGAAAAGAATTAGCTGCAAACACTAGGCTACAATCTTGCTTGCTGCGGACGCTGAGGTTTTTCAGGTATTTAGGATTGGCGGGGCGCCGACACATTTCCCCACCGAATATGGTCGCCTGTCAGCTTCCAAAATTGGAGGAAAACAGGTTGGCGTCATACTAGACCGAACTCCTCTGAAATTCTAGCGTCTGCAGCGAACAATGGTGAACATATAACAGCATTTTTCGGGAAGAACCCATATAAGGCAGCGAATCCGATGATTGTGCAGTTATCAGGAAGTACGTCCACGCAAACAATAAATTTTTGAACATTTACAAGGGAGGTCTTTCAGGGTGGCGCGCTTTTTGGAAATGGTTTGTTGCTTGTTGTAGGGGTCCATACAAGGATCACAAAAATGGGTTTCATTTTTGCTATGCGTTTCTGGGAGGTCAAAAACTGAGTGAAAAGAATTTGACAAGAATGGGCGATTTTAACTACCTTATACTTGTAATTGTCATATACTTGGCTTATTTCCACTGCTAGACACATAGGAACGCGAATGAAACGAAAGCTGGAAAATGCAAGAAATTGCCAGCAAGGAGAATCCGATCCACAAAGTCCCGTATCGTCGTCCCATCCAGAATCCATCGAGTTATCCGCTGCGCCATCCGATCCGCCGACAGTGAGCATGAGGGGACCGCTGACAAAAACATCACTGTTGCGTCGGTGCATGCCAAGTGTGTTACTACATGATACTTACATTTTGACTTTATTTGAAACTATTTTCGAAGCCTAATTAACTAGCATCTCATAAATAGTTGTCGTTATTTTTTTTCTTTTCTCACTGCATGTTTCCTTTCCGGGTTCTGATTTGTTTCGTTATTGATTCAAGATTTATTTTTCTCTCTGACGTTGCCTTACACACGTACTGAATAAAGAATAAATTGTGCATGCTCGAAGTTACAATCAGAACGGAG